TATTAAGAACAAACAAAATCGACGGATGAAATAACTAAATATTTTTTGCAAACGTTTTTTCTGTGAAACAAATATAAAGCGTACATCACACATTGGGCAGCTAATAAGCCTATTGTATTGTGGTGATAAGCAAATATTTCCTAAGCCGACAAAAGGAAAAAACGGGCATCGGGTCCGGTCGTAACAGAAGGTGTGAATGTTCGCCAATTTACTGCCCATTGACAACAAGCATAAAAGATGGCCCCCATAAACCCGCGTGTTCCATTTGGCCCACTTGACCCTAGAGCGCATAAATTATGCATAATCATCAGCATATCGAGTGCGTTCACTGAATTATGGGAAGTTATGACCATGGTACTATAGTGTCAGTGATATTTTATTGTTTTTGTTTTAATATCAGTATTGATTAGATATTTAATACAGTTACCTTGTTACATTGTTATCGTTCGTGGATTAGAATAGGGTAGATGACTATTTTTTATTTTAATGTCCGTCTGGTAGATTGTTTAAAAACATTAGACACGTATTTTTTATTTTCTTACGGAAACGAATAGTTTTGAAGAATATACCTCTATGATTTGAAATATCGCATAACGTCACTTTTTAGTACGATCTATACTCTAAAATGACGTAGTTACCTCCCACTCCTTTGATTCGTTTTATCTAAGTATTGTTTTCTTATTCAACAAAATAAAAAATTCGTGTCTAATATTTTTTCATTAATTAACTGACGGGCTAATTAGATTTTTAATGTTCATACCCTGTCATCCCTATTGAATTCATAAAAAAAATATGAGTTAGGATAAATGAATATTCAGTCGATAGTAAATTTAATACCTACATTGTATGCATATTTGTTGACATCTATTAGTATCTACTTTTCGGTTACAAAAATACGATTAATCAAAAAAAAAAAATCACAGATCAAAATTTTTTTATGTGGAATTAAGCAATTACATTTCATTTAGATTCACAAAGTATAGATAAACTGCTTACGAAATCTCTGTAAAACATTTTATCGTGAAAAAATCTCTAACGTTCACCCCAAATTTCTTTTTACGCATATTTAATACGGGGAAAAAACCATAAAGGTGTATTGAAATAAAGCTTTACATACAATTGCAATGGGGTACAAACAGACATTAGATTCGATGTTAGAATTAGTTTGATGTTATCTAACGCAGGTGCAGTTTTGCATAATACAAGTATGGAAGCCGAGGACTTTTTATATTTCTGTTTTGAGTATTTTGTTCATTGATTTAAAAAGAATATAACTAGACTAATCGTAGATACATAATAATAGGTAATCAGGTGTACCGATATTAAATGCGATTTGTTTTTCTTAGTGGTTATTGATGTTATTACGAAAATATAACATAACATAACATCACGCCTTTTATCTCCGAAGGGGTAGGCAGAGGTGCACACAGAAGTAACACCCACCTTTCACTATTTATGTTATGAGTCCCATGTAATAGGGGGTGAGCCTATTGCCATATACCGGGCACAATTCCAGACTCCGTGCTGCTATTGAGATTTTTTATGTAAAATATCTACCTACAATAAACTTTTATACAAAACAACATAACAACATCACGCCTTTTTATCCCCGAAGGGGCAGGCAGTGGTGGATATTACGGCACTTAATGTCACTGTATAATGTAACACCCACTTTTCAACAAGTGTACGCTAAATTATAAGAATAAAATAGAATAGGGGTTCGTTCACTAGGTCGTTTAAAACTGTTGTTTTGGTTTTGAAAACATGTATTAGGTAAACGTAACCTATTATTGTTTTACATTTATTTATTTAACTCGTCGAGTACCGGTTTTATAGACACAATTAAAAAACAATAGGTCGCGGTCACCGGTGACCGCTTGGTGTTTGACAGTTTAAAATGCTCTATAAATTACATTTTTAAATAAGTACTACTTACAAAATAAAAAAATAATATTTAAAAATATAAAAAATAGGACCAAAAAAGAAAACCAGTAGCGGGAGCATGGTCCAAGCTACCGGTGGTTAGGGCTCCAGATTTTATCATTATTGTTTTTATCATTATCAACATTTACTGCACCCAACACCAAGATTTTATGAAACTTAGTATGTAGTATTGTTTTCCAAACTTCAACAGTAAATATTAATTAAAAATAAAAAGGCTTCTAATTTCCTGAGCTGTGCTCATAAAGTGACGATGGACGGCGACGCGACGGCCGCGGCGCCGCACTTTTCATTTTAATTAAAAACCGCTAAATTGTTCCGTAGCCATTTTCTTTTCATTCAATAATGGCTCGCTGGGAATAATGAACCACACACAACTATGCTCGTTTATGTACCTATTTGATGTAGTTCTATGATGAAGACTGCCTCGTTGGCCGAGTGGTCGCAAGTGCTACTGCCGAGCATGGGGTCTCGGGTTCAATTCCCGGGTGAGTAATCTGGTAATCCCAAAGTATTACTGGGTTTTAAAAAAATTCTCAGTAGTAGCACGGAGTTTAGAAATGTGCCCGGTATATAGCAATAGGCTCACCCCCTATTACATGGGACTCATAACATAAATAGTGAAAAGTGGATGGTACATTGTACAGTGTCATAATGTACACCTCAGCCTACACCTTCGGGGATAAAAGGCGTGATGTTATGTTATGTGTTGATGAAGTTATAATCTAAAATGGCGCCCCCTATAACATGGGACTCAAACTAGCGAAAAGTGGATCGTACCTTTTATATGTTCTCAGCCTATCGTACTATTGTATTAAAACATTTTGCTATATCGGGAAACATAATTTGTATCTTAAATTAGGGTCAGCGGCAAATAGGACGCTAGTGTATTGTGGTAAGTGCAGTGAGCTATAGTACAACTTAGAAGTGGTCGGGCACGACAATAGCTATTGAGTTCCAGATAGATATCATCAGAATAGAGGGCGCTACTGTGTTCTGACTTCTGTAACTTCACTTCACTCTTTTCATAAAAATACTTTTTCTTGCGATTTGTTCTTGTAAGACGTTTATAATTCTTTGTGATATTTTAAAATAATTTAAATAATTGCTTTGATTGTGACCTGCTATTCGTAATGGATATAGGAAAAATTATGAAAATCTTAACTCATCTGGTTGTAAATAGTGTAATAGTGTAATACAGTGAAACTTGGTTAAGTGGGACCTGGATAAGTGAGAAACCTCCATAACTGGAACTCATGCTGAGGTCCCAACACTTTGGCACTGAATAACCTCTGTTAGTGGGACGAGGTAAACCTCTATATCTGGGATTTGTTCTTTCGATTTATCATCATAGTTACCTCTATAACTGAGACAGCGAGTAAATTTTATATGCATAAACTTCTGTAACTGAGATAAAATTGTTTGTTTACTCATTCTTATTCTACCCACAAATTCCACACGTAATTCCAAGTCCACCTATATTAATGGAACCCTCTGTAAATGAGACAGATATGTATTTATACCTGTATATCTGAGACACTGGGTAAGTGGAATACCTCTATAAGTGAAACGACATTGTAGGTCCCTTGATGTCTCACTTAACCAGGTTTCACTGTACTAGTTTAACGTGATTCACGATAAAGTATCTATTGAGTCTATCTATCAGTCTATCTATCAGTCTATCTATCAGTGAGCTGCGCGACGTCGCCGCGACCGCGCACGCTGCTCATGAGGAAGAACCCCTCTGTGGTTCGAAACTAGTAGAGCTTTTCTCAGTATATTCACGTGAGTAACCAGCGTTTTTACTTAATTTAGTATGTCTCACGATAGTTATTATAAAAACAAAGTATCTATTATAGGAAAAGTCGACAATTTTAAAATTTATTTGGAAATCATAATAATATGATCTCACTTTATTCAACCATTATACTCAAAAAATCACCGCTAACAAGGCAATCACACCTTACACACAAATGATACAAACTACACATACTTAGTTACTTACCGATAACCCGCTACACACATTATTTCATATAAAAATGTTCCATTTCCACCAAGACGTGACTTATTACTGTAAGAAAGTGTGGAACCCTCTTTATTACTCGTATAACTGTGAATATGAGTTGGCACGTCGTCGATCACATCTGGCGAGGCTGGCCGAGGCTGGCCGAAGCTGGCAGTCAGTCACTTGTTGACCTCATTCGTAGAGCCTTACTGCCCAATGTTAACTACTTACTCACAAAGGCTTTAGTACAAGTTTAATGTAATCGAAAGGAGATCGCGTTCAGCGCGGTGATTGGTGGGTTCATTGGAGCCGGCCAATCACAGCGCTGAACCCTTACTCGTTTCGATTACTTTAAACGTAAGACAAACTCATAGTAAGCCGTCACGTCAGTTTGATTGGCCCAAACTTCGAATGAGACTATTAAGGGCTAAATGTTTCGAAACACACAGAACGTGAGTAATTCCTTAGTTACGTTTCTGTTTCGTAAAGTACCTATGTTTTAATTTTCTCGGTTAGAGGGTAGACGAAATCTACCAAACGCAACGTCTAATACGTTTCGTTTGGTAGATATATTAAAAACACACAAACAAATATTAAACACAGAAATATTAAAAACTTCTTTATTATATCTCTGTACTAGACTTATAAGTCAAAGTCAAAGTAAAATCATTTATTTCAATTAGGCCAGAATGGCACTTTGTAAACGTAACGGTCCTGAAAAACGCCGACAGGTAATGGTAAAAAAACAAGGTTTATTTTCATAAAAGTAGGGAATTAAATATTTATTTTATGTAATAGTTGTAATCAAGTAATCAAGGCTGATGTTGCATGAATAACACAAAAACAAAAACTATTAAAAGTGTAAAAACAATTTCTTTTTGATAGCGTTTCGGTAGCGTTCCGTTTCCACCCTGTATGATATGAATATGAATAACTTATTTTTAATGACATTGAAAAATTCAGAATGGCATCACTTCCGACAAAAATTCAAGCCTGTCCTTACAAGATTGTTAAGTTATCAGTATTACTCCTATAACTTAGTGCTCTTGAAAATATGATGTAAGTGCTTATAAAAATACTGCATACTTTGGACCAACGGCAACGCGTCTACGAGTCCAGTAAGCAGGACCCTTTCCTGCGATCTATTAATATGTAAAGGCCAAGAGACTTCGATCCAGATAAAAATATAACCAATGTGGTATTTTATGAAAAGCCAAATAGTCATTGTAATATCAATATTTGAAATATTACACCATAGTCAAAATACCACAAAGACCAAGTCATTTACTTAACAAACTTATGTCCCGGGTTAGTATGCTTAGCAAGAAAGATGGTAGATACATTAGTTTGTCCATCAAGTCCTATGGATATGGATCCTATTGAAAAAACTTATTTTTTGTAGTTTGCCAGCTGTGACACCAGATAAATACTTATTAAGGTTTTTTTTTTCACTTTCAGTGTCAGCGTGCCAGGGTATGCCGGTGGACTGTCGGCGTCTCTGCCAGGTGGTGGCAGCGTGACGGGCGCAGCATGGGAGCGACTCGGAGCGGAGCTGGTGCTGTCGGCGCTAGTGGCTGCCGCCTACTTCGCAGCCATGGAGCGGCGCTGGACGGGAGCTGCACCGGCACTGCTGGGCGCTGCCTACTGTGCTGCTAGCTTCGTCTCTGTGAGTATAATTTGTGTTCTATTTCATGATTTTACTTGCTTATCTTATGATTGCACGATTAACTACCGTGCTGTTTTGAATATAAATTGTTATTGTAATCTTAAAATCGTTAATTATTGTTACACACCACAGAATATCTTAGCGCAGAGTACCGTTTTTTTGTAAAAATATGTCAACAAAAATGCCTTCAGTTTTTGGTTTCCCATTTTTTATAAGCACAGCTAATGATTACGAGAGAAGCATAAGCATAAGAGAGAATGTAGCTGACATTAGAATAATATCCATCATACTAGTAGTATAAGTACTCGTCTTATAAACGTTAGCTATATGGACTCATACGGTATTGAACACGAAATGTTCAACAAACGCGGTGTCAGGTGGGCAGAGTGTAGCAATGTGAGCTCGTGCATTGTTTGCCGTCTGCGCTATTATGTGGAATGTATTACAAGCTACCTGCCTTTTGTGCAGCATCCCTAAGGACAGCTGCCGTTGTAGCGTGCCCATCTGTCCGCCCAGAACAAAGTGTACGGGAAAAAATAAGTATATACACACACATTACCTACCTACGTATGGAGGCTTTTATATCTCCTGAATTGAAGTTTTTGTTGATATTTTTTTAAGTAAGCTTAAGATTTCTGAACTTTCATAAAAACTTTATGTAACAACATACATGGTAAAAATGTAAATTTAATAATCTAGGAATATTGTAATCCTATCCATATCCCCATACATGACACAATTAAATACTAACTTGCCAATAATTTTCATTTACAGATGCCGTCACTGAATCCAGCTAGATCGCTAGGACCGTCATTCGTATTGTCTCGCTGGGAGAGCCACTGGGTGAGCTGGGTGGGAGGACTCGGAGGCGGTGTGGCCTCCGCGCTGCTGCACGAGTGGGGCGGCCGACGAGCAAGGGGCGCGTCATCACGTGCCTCGTCTCCTCGAGACCTGGACGAGCTCGACAAGCCCGCCTTCCCTTCGCATCACCACTACCGCCACGCTCCTACGTACTGCGCCGCAGCTCCGCGCCCTGATACCGCCGAGCCGCTCTACTCCGGCACCAAATCACTCTACTGTCGCTCACCTCCACCTGCCAGGCATGGCTTGCATAGGTACTAAATGATAAACCGAGTAGTCTTACATGAAAATGTAGCTTTTTAATCTTAACATGTTGGCGGTTTAATGGTTGAAAGTTTGTATTAATCACTCCATGTACATTTACAGATCGCAGTCAGTGTACAGTAAGGGTAGCTCCGCCACAAGTGGGGCAGCCAGCAGTGCAGCGGCCACCAGTGCAGTGGGCGGGGGCCCGCTGGTTGCGGCCACGTCGCTAGTGCTGCGCCCACCCACACATACACACGCTCATCACGCTCTAGCACATAACCAGAATGCCCACAACGCCCAACGAGATCCTCCGTACGGCACAGCCAACGGTGTTCGCCCAGGACCAGCAGGTGAGTTCCAGATTTAGTCATTGGATGGACAGAATATGAATCTTAATATTTGGCTCTCGTTAGTTTATTCTACCACCACGGGACAAAGGTGTGATGGTTGTCTACGAATGTATAAATAATTGTGCAATTACGGTTTACAGGAGCAGCCGTAAACGAGAGGCGTGAGTCAGTATACAGCGGGAGCGTGGGTGGCACGAGCGCGAGTGGCGCGTCGATGGGTGCGAGCGGCGTGGGCGGAGCGCGGCGAGACGACGCGTACGGCACGTACTCGCGCGCGCCGCACTACCGCTCCGCGCACGCACAGCACGGGCTGCCCGACCACTACTAGCGACGCGCCGAGCAGCACAATATAGCGCTGCTCTTCGACGTTTGAAGCCATAGGACCTTACACCCAGTGAGGATCACGTCACTCTAGGAGGACTGCCTACTCTCATTAGCTCACTGCACCGGACAGTGCCACGCGGCTACATCACAGCCTGTGACCAAAACTACACGAGTGTGTGATTGAGTACATCAAATACACAAGAACTTGTCAAATCAGTAGCTCGGTGATATAATAAATTATAAATAATTAAAATATTTCTAAAAATATAGACCGAATTGTTATGGTCGTATTGTTATATCTATGTATGCTGAGTAAATTGTTTAAATAGTGATTAAATTGTTCAATATGCTAAGAAGCGTGCTGAAATCCTTTTCATATTTACATAATTATTAACATTGGTATTCAATATTGTGATTCAAAACGTGTTACAAAAACAAAAAGTAAGTTGTATAATATCTAGATTGGATTTATAAAAAGTTTGATGAAAAGTATTGTAAAAGTTTTAATGACTTTTTTTAAATTAAATCTCCACTTAATCTACAATTATTACAAAAGTAATGTCGGTCTACAATAATATACAACATGTTAAAAATAATTGGTATATACATAAGTGCGTTTCCGTTTGGCACGTAGGTAAGTGGTTCCCTTAAAATATATATTTAAATTCTTAAGAATTTTATAACACAAGTTTTATGCTTTACCAACTTACGTTTACGAAAGTAATTTAATTGTGAAAGCCACTTTGTAAAAAAATATTAGGTATATACAAAAAAAAATTAATAAAGTGAAACGTAAAATTTATTTATTTTAAAGGTTCTGTCAACTGTGTTCATTCCCACTTTACATTACACGTATTTACCCGATAGCATAAGTTGCATACATGAGAATGACAATATACGTTTATTCAAAAATTGACCAAAATAACGTCATAAAAAAAAAGTAAAACAAAAAACAAATTTAAGAAAAAATATTTCGTAAAATTGTTTCGACTTTAGTGTTATTTATATTACATACATATATCCTCTTTTTTTCAAAATCTATTAATAAAAAGGTATTAAGTGCCATATATATGTACTAACATCTTAAACTCTTTTTCCATGTTGTTCACATAAATCATGGACACGTATTATATATAAATTATATATTATAATTATATAATACTCTTATATATAGTTAATTAAAAGACTTAATAGTTTTGTTAAGTAGGTATGTTAGTATGTAATTAATTGGATTGTAAATAGTATGTACCTTTACTAAATAATTCACCAAATGAAAATATAATTATCTGTTATTCATTGAAATGTAACGGGTCTCATTTATTGTAAAGTAATTTTGACTTATATATAAGTAAGTACCTAATTCCTTGTATGTAAAGTTTTTAGAAATATCTAAAAACTTATCGTTTAGTTTAGATTGTAAAATATTTTCTAATACATTTTAGGATATTCTTAGAGAACAACTTGAAGACAACTGACTATTTCGATTACTCCTTGTAAAATCTTTATAATTAAATTTATTGATACATACCGTTGTTGGTCCTTTGACATCAATGTTATAATCATACATCATATATTGCAGGATTTTTTTTTTAATATTTGTCAAAATAAAATCCTAAAAATATTCGAACATGATCAGTTCTGATGATAAAATTTTATATACGCATACTTATAACCTAATTTAAATATTTCTGTACAAATAAACAAAAAAATTATAAGCAGTTTTATCGAGACGTTTTGTAAATAATTTTGAAATAAATTCACTTAAAGTTATATAGTTACTTGTATATTTTGTTACCCCTGTTGTTTTTTTCAAAATAGACTAGCTGTAGCCCGCGACTTCATCCGCGTAGTATAATGACTTCTGGCAGAATTTAGGATTTTGAATTAGTTTTTAATTTTTATCAAGGGATATTCTACGGCAATGAATGTTGTCAGAATTGATTCAGTCCCGTAGGTGATAGCGTGATAGTATGTAGCCTTTATGTTGACCCGACATGCTAGTAATATTCATTCAAAATTTGAAATCCATGCAGTACTTTTTGAGAATATTCCGGACATACATACAGACAAACAGACAAAAATTCTAAAAACCATATTTTTGTCTTTGGCATCGATTGTAGATCACGGTCCAAGTATTCGTTTTAAAAAATACTCAATATACAGTTTTGACTTTTCTACGATTTTGTTATATGTATAGATAGATATAGATAACAGATTAATTTTCATATTAAAGATCCATTCCACTGTTCTGATGATGATGGTGAAATAAACTATATTTCGTAAAATACATAGTTACTAAACAATAAAAATACATTACAATGTAACACCCACTTTTCACATAAATAGTGAAAAGTGGGTGTTACATTGTAATGTGCACCTCTGCCTACCCCTTCGGGGATAAAAGGCGTGATGTTATGTTATGTTTTATAGTTACTAACTACGATTTTTAACTACGATAACATACATACATACGTAACGCCTTTTTATGCCCTTTTTATCACCTTTTTATCCCCGAATGGGTAGGCAGAGGTGCACATTATGGCACTTAATGCCACTGTACAATGTAACACCCACTTTTCACTATTTATGTTATGAGTCCCATGTAGTAGGAGGTGAGCCTATTGCCATATACCGGGCATAATTTCAGACTCCATGCTACTAGGTACTGAGATTTTTTCTAAAACCCAGTAATACTTTGCCCTACCCGGGAATCGAACCCGAGTCCCCTTGCCCGGCAGTCGCACTCGCGACCACTCGGCCAACGAGGCAGTTTACTGTGAATTTTAATCCTAGCCTAATCAATCAAGCTGTGTGATTCTTTCTAGGTTTTCTTTTCAGAAAAGTTTGTTTTATTTATTTATGGGTACAACTTAGTGGAATTTAAGGTTAAAATAAAACAAATTATTATTAAGCATTATTAAGCGTTATATATTTGGCGCAAAATAATATATTTTCTTGAAAATTACTAAGTATAAAAAACATATTATTATCTTTCATTTCTTAGCCAGATCTAAAGCTTTGCCTTTTTTATATATCATTTATAACCCGTACATGATAGTAATACCTGGGTAAGCTTAACTATACTTTCAAGGAATAAACAATACATAGATCTTTTTAATCTTAATTTTACAAATAAGTGTAAACAATTAGTATGTACCAAACTTAATTTAGTTTAGTTAAAGCTAATAACTTAATCTAAATAAACAATAGTTTATAATTGCATTCATCAAGTCTTTAAAAATATATTATGAAATAAGGTTTACGCTGACGAGGCTCTAGCTTGTTTTACGTTTAAAGTAATCGAGACAAGACCGCGTACGGCGCTGTGATTGGTTGGTTCATTGGAGCCGGCCAATCAGAGCGCCGAACACGGTCTCGTTTCGATTACTTTAAACGTAAAACGAACTCGTACTAACCCCTTAGTAAGGTAACAGACAGACCGACCAGACGTACCGCATTTCGACTGCAACCCATCGGCAAATTGCAGTGTGAATGTAGTTGACACGACTGCAATTGAACTGCAAACCAAACTGCAATCCGATTACAGCTCTATTGCAGTCGTGTCAACTGCATTCACACTGTAATTTGCGGTTTGGTTGCAGTTCACTTGCGGTCCATCTGTCTAGAACCTAACTTACTAAGAATAGTGTTATATACTCAAAGTGATAAAAAATTAATTAATAAAAAAATATTAAAGTATGTTATTAAATGTTTTATATTTATGAATTCATATTGGCCTAATTATTAGCGTGTGAGCCATAATGTAGAGGTATTATCCCATGCGTGCATTGTTAGCTGGTAATGCAGCTTGGTCTCTACAAAATCCTAGCTCCCTTAAAAAGGTCATCACTGGACTACTGTAGTTTTCATAGGCCACGTCGATGTTCTGTGGACAAACCACGCAGAGTCAGTAAAATAGCAGAGTCGACCATAATATTCGTGATGATATCGAATATCATTTACCTTCACCAGACGGTCGTAATATGGATCCTGATCGTATGGTGTACCACGACGCCTGTGATTAAACTCTTGCACTGCTACTCGCTTGGTTTCTTCGTGGTGGAAACCCAAAGAAAACTGGAGTATAGTAAAGAATGCAAACACCAACGCGGGAACTCCAGAAGGCCGCGTGAGCTTGTCCATCTTCATAACATACGCATTAAACGCTTGTTCTACCGCTCGCTCGTTATTATACTCGTTATTCATCTGCAGTTCAGAATAACGTCTTGCCAGGACCTGTAAAATTAATAGGTTTTGAATGGGGTCATCATCATCTATATATATTTGCTAGACTGCATAAAAATACCCCATCTATCATGGACATTGATATTTTTTTTAAGGGTTAAGCTTAGGGTAGGATGAGTGATTCCAATTTTAACCATAACGGAACATTGTAATCGTAGATAAACCAAGTTGCTTAACATACTTCCATAATGGCTGCCTTATTTTCATCTTCATTTTTGTCTCCGTGTAACTGTTTGTTGACTTCAGTCACAGCTTCGTTGTGCAAGTCCTCCAGTGCTCGCGGGTGGAAGCAGCAAGTCTGCGGGCCCCACGCCGACGTCATGTAGTTGTTGTAGGCGTATTCAGCCATTTGCCTCATCATTCTGTTACTCTTAACAATCCCCTGCCTAAATTCAGCATAACAGTCTTCGATTTCCTGTCAATCAAATATACGTTTTCGTGCTTATTATGAAAAGTCATTTCGTTGTGACTTCCGCAGATAAAAGTTAGATAAGCTCAGTTTCTGGAATATTTTTCACTTAAATTCCAATCTAGTACATTTTTAACAAGAGACGATTCGCAAAACAAACTCGATGATGACATTCAACGTACTTTAATTGAGTGTTAGCATAGTTTGAATGTTGTTAGACCCTCAAACATTCGTCGTCACGATAAAACAGATGGTAATTATTAATGATCAAATATTAATTATACCTGTAAAAGTCGCCGGAGGTGAGGGTCGTCATCTCGCTGCGTGGAGCGATTTCTAAGCAAGTAAAAGGATGATTTAGAGAGATCCATTATCTCCCGGTGCTGCGTGGAGAGTCGCTCGGAGCTGACACCCGGCTGGTCCATCTCCAGCTTCATTCGCCTCACGTATACCTCTCGTGCCTCCATCACGCTATTCTTGTTGTTCTGCTCGTTGATGACACACAAGTGCTCGTAGCGCTGCTCCAACTTCTGCAACGTTCAACTTCTGAGTTTAGACTATGTTGAATACTTCTGTATGATATAAGTACGTTTAAGTATTTAGGGAACAGAGAGTATAGTTCCCTAAGATCGGAAAAGGAGGATCCTCCGACCAGGCGAGGTGATCGTGCCTGGCGGGCTTTCTGCCCAACAGTTGTTCGTTGGGATTTACTATCCGTGTTTATTCGCTTGTAAACTTTGCATGTGCGATGTAGGATTCTTGTGACGTCATCCGTTGACATGTGGCATGCGTCGCCACATCACTCCCTCCCAAGACCGGAGGTCGATCCTGCTGAGACGACTGTCGATGCTGGAGATGAGCGGTGCCAGAGCCAGTGTAGAAAGTCCCTAGTTCCAGTGAGTCGGAACTGTGCCGCTGAGTGCCCAGTGAGTCGGGTGAGCGGTGCAGGGTGAAACTCCAGTGAGTCGGAGAGATGAGTTCGCAGTGTCCCACGGTGAGTCGGGGAAGAGATGCTGCGAGGGTAGGTGCGTAGTGGCTGGCATCTGCGTTGACGGGAGGAGATGTCCTTCAGAACCGTGTGCAGAAGTGCTGTGCCTAGACGCTGTTGAGGCCGTAGGGAAGAACCAGGCTGCACAACTTCGTTGCAGGTAATGGTGGTCCCTGATGAGGCCGAGGATGCTGGTTGGCTGCGACTTGGTTACCGCTCAGCGGAGAAGTGATGAATGAGAGGGATGGCGATACGGATGACGGTGCTAATCTGCTCCGTGAAGTGAAGGTTGTTTTCAATCACGTCGGGGTCACCACTTTAGGGAACAGAGAGTATAGTTCCCTAAGATCGGAAAAGGAGGATCCTCCGACCAGGCGAGGTGATCGTGCCTGGCGGGCTTTCTGCCCAACAGTTGTTCGTTGGGATTTTCTATCTGTGTTTATTCGCTTGTAAACTTTGCATGTGCGATGTAGGATTCTTGTGACGTCATCCGTTGACATGTGGCATGCGTCGCCACAAGTAAATGGAAATACAACTTACACATTTTAATTCTAATCTTATCTCGTCCTCTTCGCCTGTAGGTTCAGCTCTGGCAGTATCAAAAACTGCGAGCGCCTGTCGCAGAGCATCTGCGTGCAGCTCCTCCAGGTCCTGCGGGTGCAGGCACAGCCGCGCGTGCTCCGCAGACACGCGGCTCAGCGCCGCCTCGTATACTTGTGCGGCGAGGGCCATAGTGTCGCGAACTTTTTTGTCGTTATTCCACAAGTAAAATGAGAGGAGTGTATCCAGTTCCTGTTCAGATATGAAATACAGCTGTTTAATATTGGACTACTTGTTCATAGTGGTAAAATACAAGGTGTGTGTTATTTTGATAATGGAATGGAGGTAGGAGATATTATAGAATTTGCCTTATACTTAACAAAATTTTCGTAATTTTAACCCTTTACTGACAAACATGCATGTAAAGTTTGACGACTGTTGATGAAGCGAAAGAGGTATGTAAGAATCGTAGCAATTAGCGTTCTATAGTCTCTATAGTTCTATAGTTATGTATGTATGTATTTTGTAATTTTACAAAAAAATGCTCGATGTGTCTTTGATGGATGGACTGAATGGTTGATCAAGCAAGCACGTTACCTTAGTAAGCTCACTAAATTGAACATCAATATCGGCCTGCGCAGCTAGATTTCTGTTCTCTGTGAAGCGTCGCAGGGCTTGGTCCCGCGCTTCCTCGTGCCAGGCTTTGAGCGTGGCGTTGCTGACACTGACGCTGTCGCGCACTCGCGCCTCCATTTGCTGCGAGTACAGATCGCGTGCCTTGCGCGTCGTCGCCAGCAGGCATGCATCCGCCGTCGCCTGCAAGTCCCAAACATAGCTAGACACTAAGTTAACATACTTACTTCTTTACTATTCATAGGTGCTCTGCTCACGCGTCTCTGCCAGCAGGCACACTTCCGCCGTCGCCTTCCGGAGAACACCAGCCTACGCTCTCTACAGTGTACAATGTCCCTATACAGTGTACAGCTTTGTAGTAACTCCAAATGTTCATCAACTAAGATATCTTTTCTAAGTACATACACAGTTACATACCTGAAAGATGGTACCCATTGTGGGCACTTCATCACTGTTGAAAATATTGACATATTTCTTAAAATACTCGAAGAAGTCTTCTGCCGAGACTAATTCACCACTGATGACCTTTGGAGTTAGGAGTTTTGGGTCGAACAGAGAAGGCGCCAATTCCAAAAGCTCCGATTTGAAGTTTTCATTCAAGTCTGGAAAATGCACTCAGTTATTAGGAAACCACTAAGGTACTAAGATACTATGCTTATTCTTCTTTTTATAATAATAAGCGGCTAAAATTCTAACTTGTAATACGGCCATCAAAGTTTCGCTCTCCAACACAGAAACCTGGATGTGGCATGAGGAAACACTTGATATCTTCGAAACACGAATGCAGGTGTTCACGGACATGCCGTAATTCTGGTTCCTGGTTTCGATTCAGCTGAGAATCAGAAATATTTGTTGTAAGTTATACCAATGTAATGTGATATCTATAAAAACGAATTATGTAAAGTACTTTTTTTAAAATTTAATGTAATAAATGATTACCTGAAGTCTTCTCCGTAGTAGTTGAGACCCGCCTGTCAAACCATAAGGGTGTTCGAAGGGATTCGCCCAGTCCCTGACGAGAAACAGAAGCGTTTGGAATGCCTTGTCCTGGGCGTTGCTCACCACCCTGCCGTACTCCGTGAACAGCTGTTATTGAAACATCATTTGTGTAAGGTTACACATTGTATAGCACTGCCTATATGACACTTATATCTGGTTTTTTATTTATAAAGTGATATATTTGTTAGAGGACATCCACAACGCCTGATGGGCTTTCATCTTGTGAACACATTGTCAAAGTTTTGGTAACAAGGTCAATTAATTTTCTTAACCTTAATTAAACACTAAAAGGAGAAAACTGAGTATCGGTTTATATTAACACAGACCATATAGCTTTTTTTGGAGGGGGGAAATCATCCAATGCCTTCTTCCGCCTTGGGTTAGGCGAGAGGAAGTCCTTGTTTCTTAAACCTAATAAACTAACTATAATATAACTACTATTATTTTCGAACCTGTAAGTTTTGAAGATCATCTTCCCTAATGTTGCCGGACAGATTGTAGATCTGCACGGACGAGATGAGCGTGGACAGCGCGAAAATCGTCGAGTTCTGGCCTATCGTAGTCTGCGAGTCGAAGGTGCCCTGTGTATCCATTAGCAGCACGGCCACCTGATAAAGGGAAATGAAGCTATAAAAATATCGTGCTCGACCAGATTGAATATAAGATTTGTTTAATTGATGTTATTTTGTATGATTATTTATTTTTAATAGATGATAAATAAGCTTGTAGAATTAGTTTTGAAATTGTTATCAAGTTTAATCACCTTTTTGCCGTTTTCTGTGGTTGTAATGATGGGCTCCGACCACAGATGGATGCCAGTGGTGTCTCGCTCACATCCACCTCGCCAGTGAAATCCTGTTAGTGGTTCGTCCTCCTTACCCAACCACCGTCCAGTCAACTGACTCTCGCGCTAAAACATTAAGAAGATATAATTAAATTTACAAAAATAAATAAATGAGAAATTTAGGTACGAAGATCACCTGAAGAAAAGGAAAGAAGAGTAGCAGAGGTGTACACTTACAGAGGCATTGAGGTATCTGAGGAAGAAATTGAGCAAGAAGGACTTGCCGCCGCGGAAGGCGCCGGCGACGCTGACTACCACCACGGGCAGGCCGCGCACGTCCTGCCGCAGCAACACGCGGCGCAGCGCCTCCTCGTCCAGCTCGTACCGCTGCGCACCCTCGCCCGGCCTCACCACTTGCACTCCCTTGCCGTGTTCCATGTTGCTCGCTGGTATTATAATCAAATATCTTTTGTGATTTTAGTGTCAGTAATCGGTTATGTATATAAGGATTATCTTATAGTCGATTGTAGCCTGCTAAATTAATTAATTGGTATTATTCATAGTTTCTAAGTCATTACTATTCACTACTAACTATACCTACTTACATAGTCTATTCAGATAAAATAAAATAAAAATAAAATTGTGTATGTTTGTAATATTCAAATATCCGCGTACGTACAAAATAATATGAATATACATACGATTCATAAATGTACCAAAATAACACTTCTTAGAATTTTTGTCTGTCTGTCTGTTTGTACTGGCTAATTCTGGAATAGCTGGACCGATTTTGACGGGACTTTAATTGGCAGGTAGCAGGTAGTAAGGAGTAACATACGCTACTTTTTCCACGTGGCCAACCAAAGTCCCGCTTACAGCTAGTATAAGATAAAGTCGCTTTCCACTGTCTGTCTCTACTTTCTAAGTACCTACATATAGGTATGTATGTTTGTTATTTTTGATCAGAGGAATACTAAACTTCGTATTTAGGCTAATAAATTTACACTAAGGGATGAAAATTAGTGTCCGACCGAATATTTGGTTTCGGTTACGTTTTCGGTTGAGTTTCGGTAAAAACACGAGTTTCGGTTTAGTTTCGTTTACGGCAGCAAACTTGCCGAAACTACGACCGAAACCGAATCTGCATTCGGGAGTTTCCGCGCTGTTATCGGTCATGTTCGGTGCGTTAAATGAGTGAATGAATGCCAGCCAATGTCGTGATTCGCTCGCTTGTTTGTTTGCTGTTCGTTTTGTTTTGTTTTGGTAGCGAGTTTTCGAGCGATTTATTTTGAATTTGGTAAGTTTTATCTCGTTTTATGTCGTTATAACATAAGAGCGGGTAGTAAACATAAAAAAATATTCAACATTAGGTACTGATCTATACATATAATAAAATCGTAGAAAAGTCAAAAGTGTACATTGAATATTTTTTAAAAAGAATACTTAGGGCGTAATCTACAATCGATACCGAAGCCAAAAATATGGTGTTTGGAATTTTTGTCTGTTTGTCTGTATGTATGTCCAGGATGATCTCAAAAAAAGTACTGCATGGATTTACTTCAAATTTTGCATGAATATTACTAACAGGTCGGGTCAACACATAGCCTACATATTATCACGCTATCAACTACGGGGGAGGAACCCTATACTAGGTACTGAGTCAATTCTGACATCATTCGTTGCCGTAGAATATCTCTTGATAAAGACTAATTCAAAAGCCTAAATTATGCCAGAAGTCATTATTATACGCGGACGAAGTTGCGGGCAGCAGCTAGTAAATCTATAAAAGTATAATCAAATTTAATCTAACCTATAAATGTTTTTTAGGTTCGCAAATGCTATACGTAAACAAATATTAGTTACGTAACTTAACTCGTCGAGTACCGGTTTTATAGACACAATTAAAGAACAATAGGTCGCGGTCACCGGTGACCGCTTGGTGTTTGACAGTTTAATTAATACATTAATAACGTCTTCTTTATTTTTCCCTCAAAATATGAGCCTTGTAAGGAAGTTTCGGTTTAGCTTTCGGCCGAAATAGACACCGTTGCCGAAATTCGTTTTCGGTTTCAGTTTCGGTCGTAAAACTAGTTTCGGCCGGACACTAATAAAAATACAGGGCTTAAAACATCCACGCAAGCTAACTCGCAAGAAACAGCTAGTGTACAGGGTGTAAACAGAATACTCCCGAACGCTGACAAAAAGAAATTGATTTTACTTTAATTGTTTTTGTATTCATACTATTCATGCAATATAAAAGAAATCACCATATAAAAGAAACATTTAATTCCTTACTTATATGAAATTATAAAAAATAATTAAGTGTCGGAGAGCCATGCTTTGCATTCATGCTCGACCGGAGTGATACCAAGGCCTCACAGAAGACCGACGTGAAAAACGTTGTGTTGTGTTTCGTCGTGTGAGTGAGGTTACCGGTAGCCCAATCCCCCCCCCCCCTTCCCCAATCCCTGAATCCCCAACAATCTAACGCCTCTGGTGTTCCAGGTGTCGATGCGCGACGTCAATCGCTTACCATCAGGTGATCCGTCTGCTCGTTTACCGGCTTATCCCATAAAAAAAACAAAACTTTTTTTTTACCAACACATGTCGACGTTTTTCGAGAGCGTTCCATTTACACCCTGTATAATAAGTGATCTAGTCTACATTATCTGCATGTGTGTCCTATCGTATAATATCAAATACCTACTTAAGATACTGATTAGATTTGAACATCATCATTATATCAGGCACAATACATCCACTGCTGAGCCTCCTCCAATGATTTCATTTACAATGTACATACATATATAAGTGAAGGGCCTGTGGAGGGCTACAGGCCTTAACCATGAAAGGTCGGCATAACACTTGTAACTGTTAGGCGATTCTATAACTTTCAATTTAAAAGATCCAAGTGTCATTGGTTGTAGGAATAATCTCGACCAATGACAGGCGGGATGCGATCGAGCTTACTTCGAAAGTTAAAATTGACAATTAGGACAACCTATAGCTGTTGTGTTTTGGAGTCGCGGAGAACCTAACGGGTTACCGGGGCTCCGGCTCGACGTGCAGGAGAAGGAATAGGGTGGTTTTCAGTCAGTTAGAGTCTGAAACTCCCTCCCGCCTCACCCAGGCGGAAGCAGTCACTCGATGATTTACCCCCTTAAAAAAATAGCTGTTGTGTTGCGCGTCCATGGGCGTCGCTGTTTGCTTTTGCCAACGCTGGTCAATCTCCAATCTCCCCTAACTCCATCATAGACCTAATTTCCGATGTTTTTTTTTAAGGGAGGAAAATCATCCAATTACTGCTTCCGCCTGGGTGAGACGGGAGGGAGTGTCAGACTCTTACTGACTAAAAACCACCCAGTTCCTTCTCCTGCACGTCGCGCCGGAGCCCTGGTTCTCCGCGACTCCGAATTTCCGATGTTTAGAGACTACTTTTATATCAACTAATGTTGTGGATTTTTCTTAATCGGACATTTACGAGTTAGGAGACCCTCGACCGCTCTTTGAAAGCTGCCTTTGTTTTTCCCAAAGGAGTAAGTAGAGGTCTGCACGATTAGTACTTATTTATTTATTTATTTAAACTCAAATACCTTAATATATTTATTTTACTCAATATTATGCAAATTCCTTAAATAAGGTTACATACAGGACATTCTGATCTTATGAACAGATAAATCAACATGACCGATGTCTAAAAACAGGCAAACATAAAATATTTTAAACGGTTACCTATCTATAAAAATGAAAGAAAATCATGTCTTTTCTATGGAAGCCATTATACACAAATATCTATTTTCTTTATATGTAGGTACGAAACGTTAACAAATATATATTAGTGATTGTAGTAGGATTATGATAGAAAATGACACTCAGAGTTGCAAATTACTGTATAAGATTTTTTTTTTATATTTGACGGGCTGAGCGACGTTTGACCACTATCTCGCCTTGTGGTAAGCGATGATACGGTCTACGATGGAGCACGTCATCCCATAAGCAACCTATTCACTCGGGCCTTGAAGACACCTAGGTTATAATAGTATGAATCTTCACTAATATTATAAATTGGAAAGTGAGTTTGTTTGTTTGTTCCGCTTTTACGCCGCAACTACTAAACCGATTGCTTTGCAGACGTAAAGTTAGAAGTCCGGATTAAATAATAGGGTACTGTTTATCCCGGAAAAAATTGATATTCCCGAGGGAAAATAAAAGTATTGGTATAGACGGCGCTGTGTGTATTGGTATCATATAGGCTGCTTTTTATCCTTTTGTGACGCGAGCGAAGCCGCGGGTAAAAGCTAGTACTTAAATAAATTAAGACCTTGAATATAACCTGGCCTGGACCATGCACTCAAACATAGGATATTAGGAACACATGAAGCAGAATAGGAGATAAATTAAACAAAAATAGATTTGTTATTAAACATGAAACTTAGAATAACAAGCAACGTGAGCGAACTTGTTTACCACTAAATATACAGTTTACACAAATTTGTTTTTGAAGTAAACCATCTGCATCTGCACGTTTCGGAACGACTGACTTATTGATGGAGTGATCATAACCGTGACCGCTACTGCATAAAGGTAAAGTTCTAAGGTTGGATTCCCGAGTCAGACACAGCATTACATTTTTTTTGTAATAACTATGTACGATTGGACTCAGAGTCTAGAATTTTGCCGGTTCGCATGTGACTCACTCTAATATATGACACACAACCGCAAGAAAACTAGATTTCACTTAAAAATCACATCAAAATCAGTCCATCCGTTCGCGAACCACGATCACACAAACAAAAATTACATTTAAATTAGAACACTCAATTTGATTCACTTACCTAGTATATAAATTAATATTAATATCTGCGGCTCGTCACAATCGAGTGTTCTTTAAGAAATATAGTGTCTCACTGCTACGCTGAACCAACAGCTACGAGAGTCTACACTTATCTGAACACTACTCTTGAACAATATTGTCCCAATCTACATACAATTTATATATTTTAAATGTATATTGTTATTTTCAACTTTACAGTATAAGAAATAAAGTTCGCATTCAGCTATTCGCGATAGCTTTATACTCATTGAGCTCGGTCTTTTATAAATAGAATTCATTGATAGCGGGAATTTTGCGATTTGTAATGTTGCCAGAATTTACCTTTCTTAACAATTTAGTAGGATTTATTAGTGATAGCTATCATGTGAAGTCGATAACTGTTTTTAATTAATTTAAGGTGTTTTATATTATGATGTTTTGTAATGAGTTGATTCATTAAAGTGCAATAACACTTTCAGGTTATAAAGGTCTGTAAAAATATTAGTGGCGCCACCTGTAGCAAAATGTAGAAAGTAAATATAACTTTGTACTATTTTACATAGGTACCTAATGTAGTCTCCAGCAAGATGGTCGAACCATGACCAGATTTTTGGTGGTAGGGGTA